ATTCAGATGAAGATGTGAATCCAAATGTGGTTTAGTGAAGCGAATTGATAATTACATTTTCACTTTGCCTGTGACTTGTCTCTGATTAAGTGTTCTCTTTGCCATTCAGATGAGGACTAAGTAAATATGTAAATAAATCTTTCTGGAAGATAGAACACTTGACATTGGTACTTACTGTACTTGAGGGGAGCAGAATGACTCAGTGTGCTAACAGGGAAGCAGGCTGAAGATTGTGGTTCATAGCTGGTGCTCAGCTCACAAATCCCGAATGATAAACTCAACAGTTTGGCAACAGTCCCCATAATTACCTGACAAAACTATAACTGAGTCTTGGGAGAGGGTTTGTGATAAGAGGCAGAGCTCTGGCTGCCAGGAGCCAGTGGTGAGGGAGGAACAGGGATCTGAAAAAAGCATTTTAGATGCAAGCATTTTAGGAGCAAGAGCTGTAGCTAAGGTTAGGTAGCTGTTCCTCTTCTAGAGGCCCTACATCTTGCCTTGGAACTTGACTCTGCTTCAGTGTTTCTGGGTGGAATTTCTAATATTTGGTGTCTGCTTAGAAATGGCTTTTTGTTTTCTTCACTTACGTGCTAAAGAAGTTCAGAACCAAAGCAGATGATGTTCTATCACTAGCAGAGGTGATGCATGTTGTACTTTTAAGTATTAAAAAAAAAACCTCTTCTGAACACCTGCAGTTCAGTTTTCCATCTCAAGCTTTCACTTAGATTTTATAGGACAGCTGCTCTTATCGACTTGATTTTAAAAGTTACCTAAAAGTGGGTTTCATTGTCAGAGTCTTAAGATACAGAAAAGCCATAAGTTGAGTGAGGTCTGAAGAGCTGTTTCTTGGTGTAGATTTGCATAAAACATATTTCCTGGCTGAGAAGCCTCTGGAAGGTCACAGTCTGGTGGCAGTGACTTGAGAGCTCTCAGCTCACGCCACCAGTCCTCTGTAGCAGTCTCTCTTAGACATGTTCCTTTTCTGTGCCTCATGTTCTTTCCTAAGTGGGAGATGATCCACTTGCCCCACCTCACAGAAGGGTTGCGTGAATTCAGTAGAGGAGATGAGATGCTCAGATAGGGCAGTGCTGAGGGACATGTAGATTTAGAAATGTTAACTATCTGGTGGACATAGTTCCCATGGAAATACCAGTGGCTGTACAGAAGTACAAGTTGCATTAGAAAGGAGAAAGAGGAAGCTTTTCTTGCATTTCTGAGGTGTCTCTGTCAGCAGAACAACACAGCATTTCTATGGCTAAAGTTTTGCTTCTCTGCCAAGGTAGGTCTGGCAGGTGAGCAGTGGGGTGGATGCCCACCAGGCAAAGCCCACCCCCCTCCATTAGCTGGGAGCTTCTGGATTTTGAAAGGTGAAATCTGCCCTGCCCTTAGTGCTCAGATTTGCAGCCATCCGAGTTTTATGTTCTGGTGTTGAAAACAGAGTGCCTCTGATTTAAATGATGATTATTATTGTTATTAGTATTATTATTAATATTATTATTGTTATTTTGCAGCCTCAGTTGTGGTTGGCTTTCTGCTGAGCTTGGAGGTGTGTTCAGCTGCAGAGCTTCTAGACTGAGTGGCAGCATTGTGGCAAGGGGAACAAACAGGAGGGAAGAAACTTCCCACCAAGTAGGAATTAAGTAGGCACTAAGGTCACTTGGGTGTGCAACTTGCTGGTCTGGAATTGCATGGAAGTTGCTCACACTTTTGTAACAGTCAAAATAAATCTCAGTGCTTGCAGCTGCTGCTCATCCCAGCTCTGGGTGCCTTGCTGAGTGCTTGTCAGTGCTCCAGGTGAGGTACTTTTTTAGGAGGAAGGTGCAGGAGAGGAGAGGTGGTCTGGCTGGGCAGGAGGCAGGTCTTGCCTTTATCAGGCCAAGCTGGAGAGCTGCGCTCCCTGAGTTCTGAGTGTTTGGAAGATGGAGACTTAGCGAAGGGCATCATGAGCACATAAGTATGTTCAGAATGAAGGGAAGATCCTTTAGGACTGTGTGAGAGTTAATACTGTGTTATCTGCACAGTATTTGAAATGTTGGGATTCTGGGAGCAGCCAGAGGTGCCCGCTGTTCCTGGAGGGTTGGGAGAACTTGATTAAATGCTGCTTCTGAAGAAGAGGGGAAAACGGTTTTCAGGATGTCTGCCATAGCTTGTAACTGAAGAATAACAATTTTCAGAGGATTTCTAGTGGGTCAGAATTTATACAACTGTCATGACTGTGGTATCCAAGCACATCATGACAGTAAGCTTATCTCTGTTCTCAGCACCCTCTGAAAGAAACATAATTACCTTCATTTTTCAGGTGGGAAACTGAGGCTTATCTTTACAAATCCTTTGCAGTGTCCCTGTCAGAACATAGACTTGAATCCAGGCTTCTCAAGTGTGAGGCTCATTCCATGATTTTGGGGGGATGCTTTCTCCCCTGAGGGGAAAAAAAAGCAACTTACTCAATCCTCCACAAAAACCCCTCAAGTCACTTTGCAGAGAGGGTTTGGTTAAAGTAATTTAACTTTTTATATGCAGTGTAATCATAGTAGTTTGACCTCTGCAGGCTTTTAAAAAGTGTGAAGTGTGTTGATACTGATGTTATTTTGGATTGTGAGGCCAAATATGTTAGCAGCCTGATGATCTCAGGTGCTTAAATCTTGTGATTTCTTTCTGTAACTGCTCTGGGAAAGGGGAAGACTCAAATGTAGTTGTTTAAGAATTAAACTTTAAGGTATTTCTCTTGGACTGCTTGAGCTGGCAGACAACTGCAAACATCTCTGCTGAGTTAAACCATAGGTACAAACTTATTTTTCTGTCAGTTGGATGCAAGAAGTTTCTCTAATTTGCTAGTGTAGTTGTAGCTGAGATAAGAAGCTTTGCTGGAGCTTTGAGGAGAGGGTGTTTTTGAGATAAAAATTCCATCCTACAAGTGGATTGCTAGAGACTTGAATTTATTTGAATGTTGGGACCCTCAGGAGGAAGAAGCTACACCACAGACATTACTGTCCAAGGGAAAATGTGAAAAGTCTAGAAGAGCTGCCCTTTGGTCTTACTTTATCCAAATATTACTTGAGAAACAAGGGCATCTGACTGAGGATTTAAGGAGGCTGTCAGAGCCTGATGGGCTTTGGTAGTTCTGACTTAGACTGTGCTGATAGTTTCTGTCTCTGAAGCTGTTTTTTAATCTTAGGGGAAAGTTCAGGGAATGGTAACTGATTAATAAAATTGCTTCTCACACGATGAACTTGTGCAAACAGAAACCTCAGCTGAAGACAGAAAAAGTGCAATGCTGAGTGCAGCCAGTGTTGCTTGTTTAGAACAGCCTTTATCTATCTGGGGAAAATGTAGCAAAGTTTCCAACTGCATTTCCCTGGCAGCTTTTAGGGGTTGCATTTGCTCTTAAGGCCTAAAGCAACTGAAGGTGCCTTCTTTCTGTGTGTAGCCTGGCCTGGTTCAATACATGGTATTTATTCATCTAAGCCCAGTGGAGAACCTGGATCAGGTTGTTACCATCAGAAAATGAGTCCTTTGGGGCTTTGGATGTGTTCTAAAAGATGCCCAGAGGAGTGGGAATAGAGAGTCCAAAGTTAGTTGGTGTATCTAGCCTGGTGTTCAGCAGTGGGCTCCGTCCCCAGCTGTAATCCCAGGTCTCTCCTCATCCAAAGGAGCACTGTGCCATCTGCTGCCCCTTTGGGTGGCAGGGCTCCCACCTTTCCTGGACAAGCCATGCTGCTGGCTGAGGAGTAATCCTGTCAGGAGAGTTGGTTTGTGCAGGAAGGAGCCAGCCTCCACAACCATGGGGAGGTGGGCACACCTGAATGTGTGAGCTGAGGCCATGTCCTGCTCTGGTGCATGTCCCATGGACCCTGCTGTGCCTTCTCTGAGGGCTGCCAACTGCAGAAGCTGCCCTTCAGCCCGTGGCTGCCACCCTTCCCAAGGGAATGGTTTAACAGGCAGGACACAACTGCACCCATGTCTTGCATGCAGTGTGCTCCTTGGCTGCATGAAGGGCTCGGGGTGCCATGGGCCTGGCAGAAAGCTTCATCTGGCTGAGGGAGAGGCCAAGTGGTGAACTGCTGGGGTGGGATTCAGCCTCCCCATTGCTGCAAGGCAACATGTCCACAGAAGGGGGGAGATTCCAATGGGACACAAGAGGTAAATGTTTCCCATGAGGACAGTCCAACATTGGAATAGTGTCCCAAGGGAAGTGGTGGATTCCCCCACATTGGGCAGTTTGAAGTCTCAGCTTGACAGGGAGCTGAGCCACCTCATGTCAACTAGAGCAGTGCCTAGAGAGGTTGGGCCAGATGATCCTTGAGGTCCCTTCCAACCTGGCATATTAATGATTCTATGATCCTAAATGTGTTCGAGGCTGTGGCTGCTGCTCTGGTTAAGCAAAATCCCCTCTCCCCCTCCCAGCATGAATTTATCCTGTCTTGAAAAGAAAGCAGATGCAAATGTGGATCAGGTACTTTCAGCAGTTCAGGAGCTCTTTGAGGTTGGGAAAAAGAAATCTGATGGGGGCTACAGCTGTTTCATTTCCTGACAGATGCACAGAGTGTTATGTGCTGCTGTTCTGCGGATGTGCACACACACACACCAGTCTCATTTTGTATCAGCAGCAGAACCACACAGCAGCCTCCTCTGTTCTGAACTCCTTGTCCTGGACAATCTGCCAAAATATGCTTTATGCAGCATTTTCTGTGAACCAGGTTGTAGCCTGTGCATGCATACAAATGTGTGTGTGTTTTCTTTGGTTGGCAGGGCCCTTTGTTGTTGAATTTTTTTGTTGCTGGAGTGGGGCAGTGCACTGTAAACAAGCATGGCTGATTATAAAGCACTTCTTTAAAACATGATTTGCATTTGTACAAATAGTGCTGGCAAAAGTACCCATGTTAAAAGTACCATGAGTACCCAAATAAGCCCAGCTTTGAACAGAGAATTCTTTCCTTTCTTGCAACTGCGGCTAAAAAGCTGTTTATAACTAAATGCTGAGACAGTATAATTTTCTTTTCTAGGAACTTGGAATAAGAATTCCTAGACCACTGGGACACGGACCAAGCAGATTCATCCCCGAGAAGGAGGTGTGGTAGTGTTTTCAAGTACACAGTGAACTTTATGCTTTTAAGGAACACCCTTTTTAGCAGTAACCCACACTTGGTTTCGGGACAGCTGCTGAGCTGCAGAACATTTTCAGTTGTGATCACATTCAGTCCTGATGAGACTTTGGCCACAGTTCTAGTGTACAGAAGTAGTGAGAGCCCTGGGGAGCTTTGGGATTGTTTTGACACCTCCTGTGCTATCTAGCACAAGAGAAACTCTACACTGTTTCCTTGTGAACATCCGGATGTAATTTCCTACTGGTCCGCAAGGCACCTGCCCCCCTGGTCTGGGGTTACTTTTTATTGAGCTGCCTCTGACGTTCTGAATAATCTGAGAAGCTTCAAAGTGCTGTGGCTGAGCATCTCTGTGCTTCTCTTCTCATTGTCTGGTAAGAGAATTTTGGAGCAGAGGAAAAGTTAGTAGCATGCCTGTGGATTTCTAGGAGCTTTAGAGCCTTAAGCTTCAGTTTCCTTTCATTTCTCTCTCTTGTTCTCTTAGCTTTTTACTTCTTTCCCTCTTTTCCCCTTAGTAAAATTATTCAGTTAGCTTCTTGTTGTTGTGATAAACTGAGATCAGTTTTGGGGCATTCAAGAAAGTGAAGGTGAGGCAGCTGAAAATGAAAAGCCAGAGTTGTGCAGGAGAAAGTGTAAAGCCAAAACTCTCCTTTTGCTGGTACAACCACCCGTGATCTCCTCAAGGAAAGGTATTCAAGGGATTTTATTTGCCTTGCCTTATGTGCACTGCTGCCATGATGTATAACGTAACTGCTTTCACTGGGGCCTCTGGGTGCTGTGGTAATATGTTAATTTACAGTTTGATTGGAGGTGCTTCAGCACTGTTGCTAATTGCTGTGTCTGTCCCCTCAGACGGTTCGGGTGGGACACGAGGACGCCGTGATGCACACGCTGTTTGCAGAGTCCTTTGCTACCCTGGGCAGACTGGACAATGTCACCCTGGTGATGGTTTTCCACCCGCAGTATCTGGAAAGCTTTCTGAAGACTCAGCACTATCTCCTGCAAATGGATGGTCCTCTGCCCCTTCATTACCGACACTACATCGGGATCATGGTAGGCGGGGCCATGGAGCAGTGGGCAGGAACTTGGGCAGCTCTCTCTGGTCTCATGTCACAGCAGTTGTGACTGAGTTTTGGGGTTTCTAGTTGGAGAGGCATTTCAGGAGGAGCTAAGGGGAAGAGTAGAGTAGGTTTGTTTTGTGCCTGATTTAAAAATTGTTTCAGAAGGCTTTTTGTTCCTAGTTTCAGGAGGACTGTGAGAAAAAAGCTGTTATAAAAATAAGACTATTATTATGTTTGTTTGTTTGTTTCCTTAGTATCTCAGAAACTGTTTTTCAGGAAATCTTGTTTGTGTGTCCTGTAAAATACACCTCCCTCTAACTCAGTAGTCCCATCATCCATTTCTGGATCTCTAAATTCTAAGCAAGTTTTCAGCCAGAAGGTGGTTGATTTCTTACTCTCAGATCTGGCAAGTGGGATTATCTTTGCCTGCTGAAGTTGAATTAAAGTTATGGGCTGTGTCTTAATTTGCTGGGGAAAGTACTAGTGTTTGAATAAATGATACTGGGCCTGTTCTGTGCTGAAAAGCTGCCCTTAGTCTCTCCCTTGCTATGTGGGTTCTGAAACCTGTTTTTATTGTAGTTGGTGAAGATTCATCTGCTTCTTCCCTGCTGGATTGTACTATGTTGTGTGCACTTCAGGACACACAATAAATCTATGCCTGTACCTCCTCCTATGTTGCTTCTGCATCCAGCACACTTAGAATTTATACAAATGAGGAATGTTTCTGCTGTGAGAACAATTAAAACAGGCTGATGTATTAATCCTGATTCTTATTTAACTTCAGCCTTTGACCACTGCAAGTCTTATCCTTGAATATTTTGAGGAAAGGATGAGCTATGATATTTCATAAAGCACAGACTTGCTGTGGTTGTTTCCTGTTTCACAACTGTGTTCTCCACTCCAGGCTGCAGCACGACACCAGTGCTCCTACCTTGTCAACCTCCATGTGAATGATTTCCTCCATGTTGGTGGAGACCCCAAATGGTTGAATGGTCTGGAAAATGCACCTCAAAAACTGCAAAATCTAGGAGAACTGAACAAAATACTGGCTCACAGACCCTGGCTTATCACCAAGGAACATATTGAGGTAAGTTTTTCTTGGAGTATTGTGAATGTAGCCTTATTTTTCAGTAAATGCAATCACAGAATCTCAAGAGCCAGACAGAGGGAGAGATGTTCTGTGTTACTTTCATTTCAGAGTTAGATCACTGAGCTACTGCATGATGTCCTAGCACTTGTGCCCTTGGAAAACCAACATGATCACAACTGGTCCTAAAGGCCTAACAAATGTAACTTACAACACACTGATGTTTCAGAGTTGTCACATGGGAATCATGTTGGTGCAATTAGGATGTGCTGAGATGTGCAGTTCCTCAAGTTCTGGCTTTCAGAACCCCCTGAGCATTTCTGAGGCTGGACACCAGTCACCACATTTGTATCTCAGTTGTTGCTGGTTCAAACCCTCATTTTTCAGGCTGGGTTGGAGGGAGCAGCCTGGCAGAACAGCCCAGGGGAGTGGTGGTGGTGCCAGCCTGCCAGGACTGCAGCACCAACGAGCCACCAAGCAGCTGCTTCTGCTGCTCCCTGCTCCAAGGGTTGCCCAGCTCAGGCAGCTTCAAGGTGCAGCTCCTGCAGCATCAGAGCAGCAATAGCAGCTCTCAGGGCAGGGCCAGGTACCAGAGCACCTCCTCCTCTGCTCTCCTCTCTGCCCTTAGTGAGGAGGAAGCAGGTGCTGGAACTTGCTCAGAGCTGTCAGCCAGGTGGAGAGGCAGTGGCAGGTCTTGCTGGGGGGCAGGGATGTGGGGGAGGGCACAGGCTCTGCCAGGAGGCCCCAAACCTCCCACACTATCCTGCCTGAAGGGGAAGTTGGGGGTTGAAGTTTCTTGTTGCATGCAGAGCATTCCACCCACAGGGACAAGGTGCAGGGAGCCCTGCCTGGATGCCTGGTTTTACCACAGCTCATCCACAAGGAGTTGCCAGGGTTTTCTGAGACTATAAAGGCCAGTTTAAGAAACATCCCACTCTTGTGGTTGCATCTTCACCAGAGGTGTGAACTTTCAGTGCAGGTTGGTCTGGCCTCGATACAAACCACATGGTGCAAAACAGAAACCCCAAGGGATTCAGTAGCTGAGGGGCAGAGAGGGGAGAGAAGCCACCTCCTGTGGGGCTAAATGACATGAGCCTGTGGCTGGCAGGTCACCTGGGAACAGGGCACTGAGCATGATAGTGGCAGCAGGGAGTCAGGAAGCAATGGTGGATGTCAGAAGAAGAATTTTATCTGGTAAAGAAACATGTTGATGAACTGCATGAAGGTGGGATTGCTTGAAGAGCTTTTCTAAATCAATACTTCTGTCTTGCACTGTTTTTAAAGCAACTTCTGAAGACTGAAGAGAACAGCTGGTCCCTGGCAGAGCTGATCCATGCAGTTGTTCTCCTCACACACTACCACTCCCTGGCTTCCTTCACCTTTGGTTGTGGAATCAGCCCAGAGATTGACTGTGAAGGGGGTCACACCTTCAGGCCCCCCTCTGTCAGCAACTATTGCATATGTGATATTACAAATGGTTACCATGGGGTGGATGAAATTCATGCCAGCCCAACTGGAAGTATTCCAGTAAGTATCTGAACAAAGTCTCTTCCAATAGTAGTAGTTTCTTTGTAAATTAATACATGGAGGGTACTTGTCTCTTTGTTCAGTGAGAGTGGGACTGATTAGCCTAATCCAGATGAAAGCCAACCAGTTGAAAAGATACACTGGGGTGAAGCTGAAATGCCACTGGTTGGCTGGGGGAAGCTACTGAAGGGAGAGACAAAGACACAGCCTCTCAGCTCTCTGGGTTTTTTTGTCTTTTGTCATTCATATGTCATTCATTTCAAGGGCAGGTTGGATGGGGCTCTGAGCAACCTGGTCTGGTGGGAGGTGTCCCTGCCCATGCAGGGGGTTGGAACCTGATGATCTTTAAGGTCCCTCCCAACCTGAACTGTTCCATGGTTCTATGAACTAAGCTTTGGTTGAAGTCAGTGATTACAGGTCAATGAAGGCTCCTTACATGTGAGACTTCACTGCAATAGTGTGGGTGGCATTTAAGTTTTGTCTGATGAAGCTCCCTGGTTCTCTGAAGGAGCAAACTGAGTGCAAAAGGCAGAGGAAAGGGGCAGGCCTGTGTACATTCAAGATAACTATTTTGCTTCATGCTGATGGATTTTTACAAGACCAGATCTTGAATTAATAGTGTTGTGGTGTTAAAACAGTTTTTGTGAAATAAGCTTGTCTGTCTTGCACTAGCTTTCCTTTGAGGCTTCATTAAATCTATATTTGCACTCACTCTTCCTTTTTCCTTCAACATGTTTCTTCTCTGTGAGCAGAGAAGGGGAAAAACACAGTTGGGTAGTAAATTGTGGTTACTTCCTCTCTCAGAATTTCTGTTACAGCTCCTTGTTTTTCAGTTGTTAAGCATTTAGATTAAGATAAAGCTTCTTTAAATTACAGTGTCAGAACTGCTTTTTCCAAAAAGGTTTGTTTCTTAAAATAAGCTAAAAGTAGCAGGGATCTAACTGAGAAAAGATGATGACTAAGTCTGAGCTGTTGGGTCAGTGCAGATTTCTTTCAAGAACTCTTTTCCTTGAAAAATCAGCATTTAAAGATGTAAATGAAGGACACAGCTTGTGTTTCATTTTTCTGGCTTAAAGATTTCTGTCATGTCAGTTCTTGTTACATGGAAATGAAGTGTTTTCCTCTCCTTTCCAAGTCTACAGAGTCTGTCTGTGAAGTTGAAGCTCTAATGGAGAAAATGAAGCAGCTACAGGAGTGCAGAGATGAAGAGGAAGCCAGCCAGGAGGAGATGGCCACACGTTTTGAAAGAGAGAAGAGGGAAAGCATGTTCGTGTGCTCCTCAGGTAGAGCAGCTGCAGGGTGTATATAAACACATATTTATTGAGCATTTTCCAAATCACTTGAAGCAACACTTAGTACTGCAAAGGAAGTGTTATTAGATGTCTCAAAAACAGGACAATTTCTTTGAAGATACCAAGATTAGGGGGGGCCTTGTTTTCTTCCAGGAACACTTAAAGCAGTGCCAAGATTTGTGGCTTCTCTCAAACACATTGTAACACTTAGTGACCATATTCTGTGTCACAGACATTTCTGACAGAAATGGAATCCCTCTCTTGAGAGGTTTAAAGGTTTCACAAGAGATGTTAAGCATCTCATCACCATGGCAGGGGGATTGGAACTTGAGGATCTCCTAGGTCCCTTCCAACCCAAACCATTCTATGATTCTGTGGTGTACAAAGAAGTCCTGAACTCACTTGGCTGCTTAAGTGCATGGAACGTTACATCTCAGGTAGTCCTGAATCTGCTACAAGCTTGGGGTTGTTGTGGGCTCTTCAAGAGTTTCCTCTAAAATAAACGTGGCCTTGGAAGCCTTGGAGGTCTCTTTTTTTTAATAAGCTGTTCAGAAATGGATTTTTCCCTTGGCATTTTTACAGACCCCTTGAGTTAGGAGCAAAGTGTCCCCCAGTCTCAGGGGATAAGGCCTGGTACACAAAATATAAGAGAGAAAGATGCTTTTTTGTAAGAGCTGCCTCTGAAAACCACAGTGACAGTCACACTGAGCTGTACCAGGCACAGGTGACCTGGTGAACCTGTTGTTTCTTTAAAAAGCACAGAGACTCCCATTCTCTGTAGAGTTCCACGAGCACCCTGCCAGTTGGTTCTTACTGAAATGGTTTGAAATCTTGAAACGTTTGTTTGAAATTCACAGAAGATGAAGAGTCAGCCCCGGCGAGGGACGTGTCCCGGCACTTTGAGGACACCAGCTATGGTTACAAAGACTTCTCCAGACACGGGATGCACGTGCCCACCTTCCGTGTTCAGGTAACAAGGATGGGGCTATCAGGAGGCTCCGTGCACTATGGTGGGGTGGTTTTTTTTGGTGCCAATTCCTAAACCTGGGAATGGCTGTGCTGGAACTTACTGCCCCAGTGAGGAGAAGGCTTAAAGCCAGCAATGAACAACCCCCTGCCCTGTAGGTTCTGCTCTGAGATAAACTCCGTTACAGCTCTAGAGCTTCACAAGTCAATTTCTCTAACATTCCATTCTGCATTTTCACTGGTTCTAAGGATTATTCCTGGGAAGACCATGGCTACTCCTTGGTGAATCGACTTTACCCAGATGTAGGACAACTCCTTGATGAGAAGTTTCATATTGCTTATAATCTGACCTACAACACCATGGCCATGCACAAAGATGTGGATACCTCAATGCTAAGACGAGCTATTTGGAATTATATTCACTGTATGTTTGGAATAAGGTCAGTTTTCCTACTTCTGTTCTGCATATATGAGACTTGGTAGCGTTGGCTTTTAAATTTTTTTCTTAGACTGAAGCAAAGTTGTTTATTAAGTAAACGTGCTCTGGAGCCAGGCTGGGAGAGTTGGGGTGTTCAGCCTGGAGAAGAGAAGGCTCCAGGGAGACCTTAGAGCACCTTCCAGGGCCTGAAGGGGCTCCAGGAAAGCTGGGGAGGGGCTTGGGACAAGGGCAGGGAGGGAGAGGACAAGGGGGGATGGATGAAAACTGGGGGAGGGGAGATTGAGGTGAGACATGAGGAGGGAATTGTGGAGTGTGAGGGTGGTGAGAGCCTGGCCCAGGTTGCCCAGGGAAGCTGTGGCTGCCCCATCCCTGGCAGTGTTGAAGGGCAGGTTGGATGGGGCTTGGAGCAGCCTGGGCTGGTGGGAGGTGTCCCTGCCCATGCAGGGGGTTGGGACTGGATGATCTT